CAACAACAACAACAACAACAAGAAGAGGAAGAGGAAGACATAAAAGAAGTTGATGCAGTACCATGCGTGAGTGATACTGTGAGTTTCAATTTACCAAATCGCTTAACTACACCTCCTTGGATTCATGGAGCCACACCCAAACAAGCCCATTTCGATTATCAACCTAGAAAAGGAGATAACTCTATTCATGGGGTTTTTGAGAATCTTGAAGATAATGTTGTAAATGGGGTTATAGATAAAGAAGAAAGAATAGAGAAGGAGGTCAATTTGGATAACAATTTTAAGGAACAAGTTGTCGACTTTGATGATGCTTCTGTTTTTCAGTTACCAGAAGCTAAGGAGATAAAAGATTGTTCTGTTCATAGGTATGCGGAGAATCGTGAAGAAGATAATGCCGAAGAAGATAGTCGTGAAGATAATGTTGCTAATAAAAAAGAAATTGTAGGAAAGAAAATTAATTGCAATTTCAACAAATTTAAGGACAAACATTATTATAATTCAGTTGAGTTACCAGGAGATAAGGAGAAGTCAATAGTTACTGATTTAAATGATGTGGTTTCGCTTACTGAGAAACCTTTTGATGGTGACGATGGAGGTTTTGGCAATATTGAGGTTTATAATGATGGTCATTGTGATTCATTTGAAAATTTGTCATGCAAGGATTTAAATGCTGTAGTTTCTGTGACTAAGAAACAACTTGGGGATTTCGAAAACGTCGAGGTTTCTAATTATGGTGTTAGTAATTCAAATGAATTGCCATGGAAGGGGACAAGTGGACTAGACTCTTTGGGAGAAGATAAGAGTAGGAAGAAGAGCAACACGGATTTTGCAGAGAGAATGTTGCCTGAACATGAGTTGAAGAGGCTAAGGAATGTGGCATTAAGGATGCTTGAGAGGATAAAAGTTGGGGCCACGGGCATTACGCAGGATTTGGTGGATGCCATTCATGAGAAGTGGAAGCTGGATGAAGTGGTGAAGTTGAAGTTTGAATGGCCGCTGTCATGCAACATGAAAAGGACACATGAGATTTTGGAGGTCAGTTTTTGCAAAAAGTTTGGTATTTTGCTTTTTTTACACCTACTTAGATAGGAAACAATTTTGATTATCTCATAGCTTTCAGTGACTTTGGCAATTCGCTAACACTTGGCTGAATTGTGTTGTTTGAAACTTTTGAATGGAAATGAATCATGGTTTTGGAGTGGATTTTTCCTACAAACCGTACTAAAATTTCAATACCCTGCTTATTCATTATTAAGGACATCCTGAATGTTTGTGTACTGCTATGCTGGTGGTAAATGCAGTAGATTCTGCTAGAACCTTATACAGATTTTAATTTGTTCTATCAGAGTAGAACTGGAGGTTTGATTATATGGAGATCAGGCAGTTCAGTGGTATTGTACAGAGGAACAACCTACAAATTTCAATGTGTACAGTCATATAACAAGCAAAATGAGGCTGGTATGGATGTTCTGCAATATGCAGAAGAAGCAACTAATGGTGCTACTAGCAGTGCAGGAATGAAGGACTTGGCTAGAACTATGGAATCAAATATACCTGATGCTGCTAAGTATTTAAAGGATCTATCTCAAGAAGAACTCATGGACTTCAGTGAACTCAACCATTTGTTAGATGAGTTGGGTCCACGGTATAAAGACTGGTGTGGTCGTGAGCCATTGCCTGTTGATGCAGACTTGCTTCCTGCTGTGGTTCCTGGATATAAATCTCCACTCAGACTTCTTCCTTATGGGGTAAAACCTTGTTTAAGCAACAAGGATACAACAAATTTCCGCAGGCTTGCTAGAACAACACCTCCTCATTTTGTGCTTGGTATGTAAGAGCTAATTTGGCAGTAGTTTTATTCATCAAATCATGTTTCCTTAAAGAGTTTGTTGTACTTATTTTTGTAGGAAGGAACAGGGAACTGCAAGGTTTGGCAAATGCTATGGTGAAGCTATGGGAAAGAAGTGCTATTGCAAAGATAGCCATCAAACGTGGAGTACAGTATACACGTAATGAGATTATGGCGGAAGAACTCAAGGTGAGATGAAAAGAACTGAGATGCTTCTTGAATGAAGATGGTATATTAATAGGACTTTATGCTTAAGCATATTAAAGTTGATTTGATATTCCAAGCAAATTTGTGTGATTTAAAATTGTATTGCTACTTGTAAAACCAGTTATCCTTTGTTTCTCTTGCCTGTTGTAAGCATCAATGTAAAAGGAAAAGGCTACGATATTTAGAGCTGTGGGCATAGTCTTTTTTTTTTTTTTTTTTTTCTGAAGTTCCTCACTTTAGAGCTGTGGGCATAGTCTTTTTTTTATTTTTTGTTTTTCTGAAGTTCCTCAAGAAAAGGTGTTTTCTTTGAAGATGCCAGTTTCGCCAACTGATCTTAATCCCTCCACCTGCACGGAAATGGTCTGAGCATGGCCATATATTGAGTGTGTCACACAACTCTGCATTTTCAAAGGTTGTTCTGGTATGAATCAGAAATTTTAGAGACTGTTTATTGCTTGGCATTTAATCCTACAATTCATTTGGGCATTGAAGATAGATTCAAGATGTTATAGTTTTTTGGGGAGTACATATCCCGTCTTCAGGTGGGACTAACATCGCTTCAAGATTGTAACAATTACAAGTTCACGGCTTCCATTTTCATGACCCTATAAAAGGAAAGTTTTCTTTTGTACCAGGTAAAATAATTGTTTAAAAATAGAACAAACAAACCATACACTGTTTGGATGGTTAATTTTTATTGGTTTTCAAGGTTTGATGCTCACTTTTCTTTGAAGTAGCTTGAGGCTACTAAAAAAATCTGTTCTGCTAAAGTTTGACGCCAATCTTCTGGTCTTGCCTGCCAGTTCCAACTACACCCTGTGGCACATAAGATTCTGAATGCATTGTGGTTGGCGGCACTGTTTTGTTTTTCTATTATGAAAATTGGAATTCTTGCATGCAGAGGTTGACAGGGGGGACGCTGCTTTCTAGAAACAAGGAGTACATCGTATTTTACAGGGGTAATGACTTTTTGCCACCGGTTATTAATGAGACACTGAAAGAGAGGAGGAAACTAGCTTTCCTCTATCAAGATGAAGAAGATCAAGCCCGTCAGATGACCTCAGCCTTTATTGGATCCAGTGTCAAAACTACTAAAGGCCCCTTGGTTGCTGGAACACTCTCTGAAACGGTGGCAGCTATCTCTCGCTGGGGGAATCAACCAAGCAGTGAAGATGTCGAGGAAATGATAAGAGATTCAGCTTTGGCTAGACATGCTTCATTAGTGAAACATCTCGAGAATAAACTAGCTCAGGTAAGTTAAGAAAGTACTAAATTGAATAATATGCAGAATATTGTGGGACACAAGGAGCTCTTCAGAACTTACTGTTTTCTGGGTTTTGAAATTGTTCTAGGCGAAAGGAAAACTCAAAAAATCTGAGAAGGATCTGGCAAAAGTACAGGAGAATCTGGAACCAACTGAGCTCCCAACAGATCTGGAAACCATAAGTGATGAGGAGAGGTTCTTGTTCCGTAAGATTGGTCTGAGTATGAAACCCTATCTCTTTCTAGGTAAGAAACGCCACTTTAATTATGGCCATGATGGTTTCTTTAGGGAAAGTGAAATATCCCTTGTGATTTCTATTTCAGGGAGGCGAGGTGTCTTTGATGGTACCATAGAAAATATGCATTTGCACTGGAAGTATCGTGAGTTGGTGAAGATAATTGTGGAACGAAAAGGTATTGCACAAGTCAAGCATATTGCAATTTCTTTGGAGGCTGAGAGTGGTGGTGTATTAGTCTCTGTGGATAGAACTACGAAAGGTTATGCCATAATTATCTATCGTGGGAAGAATTATATGCGCCCCAAGGCAATGAGACCTGATAATTTATTGACGAGGAGGCAGGCATTGGCCAGATCAGTGGAACTTCAGAGATATGAGGTAAGACAACAATAGATTACTCTAGTAGTTGGTGGTTTTCATGATTAAATAAGATACACCATCTGTCTTTCCATCTTATTTCTTTCTTTTCCAGGCTCTGAAGCATCATATCACAGATTTACAGGAAAGAATTGAGTTGGTCACGTCTGAACTTGTAAGACTCCTTTTCCACATTTTGTTGATGTGCTCTGACGCGTATGAGAATTAACTGTGTTAAACCATGACATTTCTTATGAACTTTTAAATATCTTATGTTAATTCCAGGAGGAGATGGAAGCTGACAAGAAATCTGAAGTATACAAATCCTTGTACTCAAAGTTTGATGATGCTTCTATTCTCAATGAAGATGAAGAGGTAAATGACTATTTAATATACTTTTCTGAATTGTGCATTTAGAATTCGTTTTATGTAATTTTTATGAAGCACTTTTATGTTTGTCACTGTCACTTGGTTGCAAGCTCAGCATGGCACTCAGCTGTGATCAGTAGTTTTAACTTTTGATTCTCTGTTTTGGCACCAGTAGCATTTGATCATTTTTTTTTTTGATAAATAATTTGAATTTATCATCCTTGAAGGGTGTTAAAGAGTTATATTTATAATTCATGCAGTCATTCTAAATAAGCTGTTATGTTGGTGATGTGAAATCATGAACAAATCTTTCCTGCATTGGCAATGAGCCTCAATGCCCCCATACTGATGGAAACTTGAATATCTAGGGTGGAACTTGCCCGCCCGGCTTTTTTGTTTAATCAACATATTAGGGTAGCATACTAGAAATTAAACATAGAATTTACAGTAATTATCGGACATGGAATTTTAATTGCAATTATGTAATATAGGGTGAAGAAGAGCCTATCTTTAAAAATACAGGACCCTAGCAGTGAGGAGGACAAGCTAGAAGACCAGTCTATGATTCCAACTGATTGCAGCTTGAGATGTCAGGCATTATAGATTTTTTCAAAGGACAACAAGTCGTATTTGCCAAGCAATGGACAAGATAACAGTGAGCAAGCATTTGAAAGAAAGGCTTCCCAAGATTATAGTGCATTGGAGTTCAAGGAAAGAGCATCCCATATCTAGCTGGATAATAGGCGAAGTAATCATCTTCTCCTGTTATCAGTGGAAAGGGTAGGAGATAGTGCTTTCACCTCCATTATGTGGGACGCAGGCTGGCACAACATGTAATATATCAATGTAAAATCTTGCCCTCGCAGTGATCTAATTGAGTAGAGTGCTCGTCCCTTCATTCACGTGTATAAGATCTGTTTCTATTTCAATGAAAAATGTTTTCAGTAGAGATTGCAAGCGTAGGCTTCCTGGCAGCAGCAAATTGAAGGGGCAAACAGCCGCGTGGGAGAACACATGCACGAGTGAATTTTTGAGGTTGGCAGATAATGCATGCGAAAAATTATCTTATTATAATACATACTGTGGTTTCAAAATTAGAACTCTATTATTATTATCTTTTTTCGTCACCTAAATTGAAATGATAAGCAAAATGATACCAAATACCAATAAAGTATTAGATTCGAAATTTTCAGATTTGGATGTGTCATTGCTTTAACCGTGTTTTGGATGGCAAACACTCTAATGTCTGGACACTCATTAAATAGTTTTCAAGCAAATTCATAACATCTACTAAAAGCTTGCCTTTTTCCAATTTGGTCATGAAGTTTAGGTTTTTTTTTTTTTTCTTTAGACTTATCTTAGTATTGTAATCTAAGCTTAATAGGTTAATTTGAGTTGATTTATATTATTTTTTTAATTAATTTTTTTTTCTAAACTTCATCTTTTATTCTTTAATTTTTTTTTTAAATTTCATCTTTTATTGTTAGGTTGATTGAGAAATGAGTTTTTATATTTTATTTATTTATTTATTTTTTATTGAGTTATTATGATTTTATCATTTGGGTGACAAATTTTACTAGTTAATATGATTTTATCATTTGGGTGACAAATTTTGCCCGTTAGTCATATTGACTTAGGTTTTTTAAGGTAATTTTTTAATTGATTTTTTTTTTAAATTTTATCTTTCAACATTGTGTTGATTAGAAATTTTATATATATATTTTTAATTTTCTTACACATATATCACATAAGCCTTTTCATAGATATAAATAATTTCTCCATATAAAATTCTATGTATATGTCTTATAATATACTTACATATTAGTTCTATATATCTTTTGTGTCTTAACTTATGAGAACAATCGCTTCTTTTCATAAATAAAAGAATATAATATGTATCAGTCTCTACAACTTTAATAAATATCTAGTATTTAAGAGAGTATTGACCAATAACATTTTATGAACAATACTTGATGTAATAGGAATCCCATAATTATAATAACTTCATAATTTTATTTGCAAAACATTGTTGTCTCATAGATTTTATTTTTACTCTAGAATCATAGATAAAATATTAGGTTTATTAATATAATATTATATGAATATTAAAGATAAATTAAGTGTTTATTAATAATAAATATGTATTTACATAAATATAATAATGTCACGTGTAACCAATAATTAGTTAAAAAGCATATTAAAATAATACTAGTGACATTATTGTTTAGATGACCAATATTTTTAAGTAGTTGATCACTAGTGATATTTGTATTTAAATGATTAAAAAAAATCTTATTAGATTAATTGACTGAGAAGGATCAGTAAACACAATGTCTAATTGTCGGTATAATAAAACTATTTGAAGTTTTAAAAATATATGTATGCATGATTTATAGGTGGATTTTAAATGGTGGTGTTAATTTTATTTGTAGCATTAATTTAATGAGTTATATATCCAAAAAAATATATATTTTATTCGTAAGACTATTATATTATAATCTAATATTATGAAACAATGTAATTATCAGGTTCCTACATTCTAGAGCCAACCATTAGATTATTCAAGTGTCATTTTTTGTTGTAAAAGTAAACTTTGTAATTTGAGAATGTTAAATTGATATGTATTATAATTTGGATATTTCATTTTGGGTTTGTAATTATGTTTAAAACAATATGCACATTAATATCTTATCATGGTATGTAATATTGTTCATCAATATCGAAATTCATATAATTAATTAAGATAAAACCCTAAAGGTGATTACATTCTAAATATTAAATATTTAATCATTTCGGGAACAAATTTCTAGTTGCTGTTTCCTCTCTTCACCTAACCAGAACAAAAAACTAAAAGTTTGCCTTCATTATCAGCTTATCATAACTCTTGATTGTGTACACTAGACTTTTTCTAGTTGCTGTGTATCCATGGGTTTGCTATTAGGGAACATATTGAGTTAGACTTGGGCCTTTTCCATCATCCATGAGGTAGTCCTTTATTGATCCATCCATGTGTAATCGTGTTTCAAAAAATAATTTAGCATTGTGAATGATGAGAGCTTGACAAGGATTCCAAGAGAGATATGTTTTACTTTTAAGTTGTTCTATATATGGATTTTATTAATTCTTGCTGTATGTCCAGGGCCATGGCCTTTTCCTTCTAAATTTACATCCTTTAAGATATTCTTTTAGGGTTTATACTGAAGTATATTTGTGCTTTCAAATATATTAGTGCGTTTGTTTTGTATGATATTATACAATCTCTTGGTATTTCCTTCAAACTGTCTAGATCGAGCCCAGAATCGAAGGGACCTTACATGCATTGTCATGCAGTTTAAAACTTCTAATATATTTCATTTCTATTAACCATCAAAACTGCATTTTCTTCTTCGCTTGATTGTGCACACCTTATATTGCTTTCCCATTACATCTACACATATTTTATTGATAGAAGAGATCAAAGCAGTAAACGTATATGGTTTGGTCATTTTTTTTTGGTTTCTTGGTTGTTGCTTTGTGGTATTTTAGTGGGTGGTTCTTTTTGCTCCTGGTTTTGCTGATCTCATGTTGGCTAATTTGTGTTTAGCCTTCTTCTTGGCCTATGGCCCTCCTCCTGCTTTAGGCTTTTGGTTCGATGCTTTTGTGTACGTTCTTGCTGCTTATTTGTTAGCTGCTCTTCAAAATTCTTAGGACTTCGACTTCTTTTCAGGTCTTTAGAGGCACTTCCCCTCTGTCAGCACATTGTTTTTTGCTTTTTATGGTTGTTTCCACTCTGTTTTTGTCCGAACAACTAGTGTGAACCGCTTTGATCATGTATGTTGATGGTTTTCGTTCCTTTGTTATTCGATCTTAAAACATTTGTTGTCATGCTTTGCTTCGGCTTTTGCAGTTTCTTTCTTTTCCAAAGATATTTACACAATTGCTTTTCTTTCTAACGTCGGAGGTAAGGTTGAGTTTGTTGGGGTTGAACTTTTCTCCACCCTGGTTTGTTACTTTCTTACAAAATTCTTTTTTTTTTTTGTTTTTGTTTCAGGTATGGCTCACTTGATGTGTTGGTTTTCATCCATGTGAATTTCAACCTTTTTTAATATCTTTTTTTGGCCTCTCTCTCTCTCTCTCTAATTTCTTCGTCGGTTTTTGTACATCTTAAATTAATTGTACATGGCATTCTTTACGAACTACACTACCCTTTCAACCTATTCTCACCTTGCATTTCTACTAGATGCATGGTAGCTTATCATTCCTTTTCTTTCACTTATTCACCTTTTCTGCACAAATTGTCACCTTTGGTAATGATTAGTTCCCCGTAATTGCTTCATGGTAGAAAAGTTTGTTAAAAGTAAATTAGATTTTGAATTTTGAAAAATTTAGAAACAATCCATTAGTTTAGTAGAATATAATTTTATTCAAATTAAAATTTACTTATATTAATTTAATTCCTTTATTGTCTATGATTTTATATTTACAAAAGACTTGTAATTCAATATTATTAAAAAGAGAATAACTAAAAAAGACTTGTAATTCAATATTATTAAAAAGCACATAAGAGAGAGAATAACTAAGAAAGTTTAAAAAGAAACACTTAATAAAAATATATATTATTCTCAATTTTCTTCTTATTCTTGAATTTTTAACTTTGCATTGTTGTGTTGATCTTATACCACACCTGCTTTACTTCCAACAAGTGGTAGCAGAGTTTAAGTTTGATTATTTGACATGGCTAATCCAAACTTCTCACTTTATTACTGTCCTAGGTTGACAAAAGACAATTATAAAACTTGGTGTATTCAAGTAAAAACTTGACTAAGTTCCCAAAATATATGGGAGACAATTAAAAAAGGTTTTGAGGAGTCTATGGAGTAATGTTGACTTTAACCTAAAAAGAAGCCATGCAAAAAGCATGAAGGAAAGATCAACAAGTATTAACAACCAATGTTTGAATGATGTCACTTTTAAGATAGTGGCTAATACAATTACTGCTAAGCAAACATCAAAAGTTTTGCAAGAATAAAATCAAGAAGTTGACAACGTGAAAAAGATATGTCCACAAAAGCTACGTAGTAACTTTGAAAAGTTACATATGCTTGAATTAGAGAATATTTCAAAATACTTTGCAAGAATGTTGATCATATACAATCAAATAAAGAGATATTAAGAGAAGATGGAAGAGACATGTGACATAGTTATAAGACCCGACCCGGGGGTTGACCCGGCCAAAAAGCCAGGTCCTAGATTATATGGGTTGACCCGGTTCAACTTGAGTCAACCCGAATCAAAATGAAAAAATAATTTTTTTTGAAGTTTTAATATTTCATATGAAAAAAATTAAGAAACAATCTGTCATAACCTAATTTTTGACAACATAAAAAATGATGAATGAAGAAAACATGAAAGAACAAAAATTGGGGTTTGGATCAAGATAGCATAAATAGAAAACTTTGAGGGGTTAATCATGTTGGATTTATAATTTTGAAAGAAATTGAAAGAATTAACTGGTATGGGGTTTCAATTAAACTTTGATTGGGTATAATTAGTGATATTGGGAGTTTGATTGAAGAATGGATGAGTTTGAAGACTTAATTAAGCTTAGAATTAGTTTAATTAATGAAATTAGAAATTCATAGGAGAGGGATGGTTGGAAGATTTCAAAAATTCCAATCAATAATTGTTAAGTGTTTAGCCTTTTCATGTGTCACCTTGCTAGTATAAGGTCCTTGTTGCCTTTTTAGGAATTCAATGAAATAATGAGTTTGTCCTTCAATTGTGTCTCTTTCTTTGATTTACAACCAAAATATCTTGAAAGAGATTCCCTCTAAACACTCACAAATATATTTTTAAAGCCTCGCGTGATCTAATAGACTCAATTAATCTCTTTTACCAAAATTAGTTTTCCATTAGAATTTTAAAAATTAAACTTGCATTTTGATTTAAAAAATAATTTGATGTTTATTT